GTTTCAATGAGTGTTGACTACTATCACTGCCACAAAAATAACAATTTCAAACTGACAAATTATTCAAATATTTTAAATTTATTGTAAGTGCTGATGACAGAATTAGAGGAAAACCCCTACAGAGCAAGGTTTCCCTAATGGGGCAGTGGTAAGTCCCCAAACCAGGAAACTGAAACCTCATCTCCTTCCCTAAGGACTGTAAGCACTCCCTCTCACCGCCTGCTACTGCGGCCCTTTGGCAGGCAGAGAGCATCTCCACTCAAGAGCACCATTCTGTCTCCGTCCTCTCTGGTACACTACCTCCCTACCAGTGCTGCTGAGAGTTCCTTAAAGACACCAACCATGCCTTATGCATCGAAACACTTCCAGGGCACCTGTTTCTACACACAGGCACAAGCTCAATAAAAACACTAAATGAGGGCTGAGCATGGTGGTGTACACCTTTAATCCCAAACACTTGGGAAGCAGAGGCAGGCTGATCTACAAGGTGAGTTCCAGGCTAGACAAAGCTATACAGCAAGGCACTGTTAACAAACATATTAAATGAAAAATAATAACTCCATATGACATGGTTTGGGGTTTATATTTCATATTATTGTCACCTTGATATGAGAAAGGCAATCAATGAAGAAATTTAAAAAAACAAAAAAGGAAAGAGATTACTCAAGAAAGAGAAAGCTGGACTGGGGATGTAACTCTAGGGTGGAGGCTTCAAACCCCATGTATGTGGCCCTAGCTTCCATCTCCTGGAAAAAACAAAATCCAGCCCCATGGAGTGGCATAAACCTATAATCCCGGCAATTGGGAAGTAGAGATAGTACTATCAGAAGTTTATGACCAGCCTCACCAACCCAGAATTAGGCTGGGCGGGAATAGGAGACCCTATCTCAGATATACATGCAAGCACACTGACCAAGCACCCTACAATCATCAGACAATGAGTCAGGATCTAGGATTCTAGAGAAGGCCCTGTGTGTAGGACACAGGCAAGTATACCCACTCGTGAGGTAAGATGGAACATTACTACTGACTCAAGAGTTCTAAGCTGCATTCCCATCAGAATAATGCTTTTCAGATGCTACCTGCACTCACAGTAAAAAAATAAAATTAAATTAACAACAAAATATCCACACATTCTTCGGCACAGCTCAGCACACATACACTACCAAATAGTCAAGTGACCCACAAAGGTGAACACACAGAGCCAGCGAAGCCTGGGCTCAGGAGCATCAGCCTGAACTGCACCAGCACTCCCTGAAGCCAACACAGGTAATTACACAACTAAGTAAAACAGCCTTTGCTAAGCAGAGCCAGTTCCCAGCGAGCCCCCACGCTCCTGCCAGTCAAACTCTGGCCCAAAGATTCTCAGTCCTTTGTAGAAATTGTGCAGCTTCCACTTTATCCTTAATGTCTTTAAACTGTTGATGTCCTGAGATTTTAGTTAAATGTGTTTGGATAACGATGACTTTTTACCAAATAAGTGAGTGAAAGACAAAAAACTACTTTAAAGAGCCTATTTTGTTGTATATATATATACTCTCTCTGAAATTTGCCAGTTTTCATTTAAATTGGAACAGAGAAGATGGGCTGACTTGCAAGTCCAAGTAATGCATTACACAAAGTAGACCACCGGTTAAGACAGTATCGTTTCCAGACGGCCTTTCAAGTATCAAGGGAAACCAGTGTAACACTGGTCCCAGTAAGAAATGTCTACACATCATTTGCCACTGAAGAGCTAGGGGTAGCAATTTTCACCACTCCCAAATACCAAGTGAGCCTTCAAGAAATGTGTTCATCTGACAAGACAAAGTCAGAAACAGGTAGTCAGACCAGAAAATCCCTTCCTATCTTTCTGTCTATAGGTAGTTCTTCATCTCTGAGAAGACAAACAAAATACACAATTCTGGGAAGACAGGCATGGTGGCTCACACTTCTAAAAGCTTACAGTGGGAGTTGAAGCTGGAGGATCACCATGAGTTCAAGGCCAGCCTGGACTACCTTGTGAGTTCCAGGGTCACAGTTCAGCATGAGACCCTGTCATACTCCGGTACAAGAACCCTGGGAGTGTCTGCAGGACTCACTTGGTTCCCTCTACACAGAGCTGTTGCACACCTTTCAGTGTATCCCAAAGGAACCGCTTATTTACATATACGCAAGTATCCTTCCACTGAGCTATAGCCCCGGCCCAGAAATTCGTTAGATCAAGAAAAAGATGTTCTCCTGATAAAAAATAAAATGCAATTCTCCTAGGAAAAGGAAAAAAGCCACAAGGACAATTTGCTGGCGCTGTCCAGTGGATTCTCTGTGACAGAGTGTGCTGTATCCGTTCTTGTCAGTTCAGCGCCCCCGAGCCACCAACACGGAGCGGGAATGTAGCTGTAACCAAACTGGACTTCAACTCTATGTTGTTTTAATTCATGCACATACAGCTAGCTGCTACCATCTCGGGAAGGGTAGCTACATCACCACAGGCCTCAGCTGAGCAGGCACCTTCCCTTACACCAAAGGCCACAACTGGAAAATCTGTCAATCTAAACCAGTGTTGACTTCCCTAGCTGGCATTAAAACTTCCTTCTAAGTGGATTTTCAACAAAATTTTGGCAATTTTAATCCTGAAACATAAGCCTGAGCCTAACAGGACAGTCAGCGTAGGAAATGCGCAGGACCACCTCCATGCCACGGAGTCCGCGTAAAGACGCTGACCTGCACGGGAGGCGATGAGCGGATCTCCACAAAAAAACAAAGAAAGGTTCATGGGCTTATGGGGCAAGAATCACATTGTTTGAAGGATTCATTTTTTATGACATTTGCCTCTTCATGGATCTCAATAAATTTTCCTTTACACAAACAAGGAACCTTATTTGTTTGTTGGAGGTACCAGAAATTTGTGCACATCAGGCAAATATTCCAACACCAAGTCACTGAGCAGATCTTCTGAGAGTCCCTTTGACATTGTTCAATTTTCCAATGGTGAGAAAGGAAAGCAAAATGTCTACTGCCCTCTTGGTAGAAAGGTAAGAAACAAGCTACAAAATGCAAAGAAACGAGTTCATTAACACCTCTGTAGGCTAGCCTCGTTAAACCTCAACAAAATCATTCCTACTTTGCCTGACTTCCTAACCGCTGTTATGATCAGCCTGTGGCCAGACTCCATAACCAAGTATTCTGCTCATGAAAACCTCAATGTAAATACACAAACTAAAATCTGATGAAAACTGATCAAATTGCGGACACTTGATAGCCTGAAGAGGAGCAAATGTTTCAAAGAGACTAAGATACAGGGGTCACACCATAACCATTATGATGGAGATTTAAAAAAAAACCCAAAAACTTAGAAATCTGTAGTCAGTAAAGACGACACCCCAAGAAACTTTGTTTAAGAACACACGGGAGGCAGGCACAGAAATCCCAGCACTTGGGAAGCTGAGGCAGGAGATCTGATCTGAGTTACAGGGGGTGACACAGGTGACTAACTCCAGGCAGCAGCCCTGTGTTTCTCATAATCTCAAGGTCAGTGATTGATTTCTTTCATCAGGCTGACACACATAAATATGTATTACATACAAGTACAAATATTTCAATTATTTCATTGCTTTTAAGTAGAAAAATAGAAGCTGTTTCTGAAAGCCTATTATCTCATTTCAAACAAGCAAACCTCAATCTACTGTGCAAAGAATAAATCCACCAGCTATTACAGAGCATACCCGGGAAAGCCAACTACACTGAGCAAAGCCATTCTTAAGGCAGCAGTGCAGCTAAGACGGGATTCAGCTTTGCAGGCAGGCGCTCCATGCATCTCTCTACCACTGCTGCTGCTACCGGGCTCTAGAAAGGAGGAGGTGCTCATCTCCGTATCCAGAAAGCAGTGGGGTCTCAACAGCTCTTCACAGAGAAGCAACACGTATACTATCCCAGGGGCTCACGGGAAAATAGTTATCAAGGAGGGAAGGGGAGAGCCTTCACGGGACAACAGATAGCATTTCCTCACACAGCAGAAGTCGGCCAGACCAGAGTGCTGTTGGTCTCTTTCTGGTGTGGATGGATAAAATCTGCAGGTGCAGGCTGTGTCGTCAAGAGGGAGAGAGGATTGAAAATGGAGAACTGTTTTGCTTCCTGACCCTTCCAGTACCCTCCACTCTTGTCAGCGGGATCCACAGCAGAGTGCTGAGGAGCCTGGCCAAGCTTCCGCAGGTCACAGGCGCTAGACACCTCACCTCTCCACGCATTATTCCAATCTTAAGGAAGAAATAATCAATGAAAGAAACAATCAAGGGGGGGGGGAGGATATGGTATTTGGACAGAAATGGAAGCTCTGAAAATATGTGAAGTTTACAGGTAAACACCACCTCTCACCCAGTGCTCGGAAGGCCCCCTTCAGCACTGTGGTTAACACTCCTTCTCTCCAAACTGCAGTGTCAAAGCAAAAATAGAAATCCATTTAAAGACACTCTGGGCAAATTAAGTCTCATAACAATTCTTAAATTTTTAATAATGTCAGATTTATGAGATAAAATAAATAAATTCTAGAAAACAAAAGAAACATACTTAACAGAAATGGGGGGCTGAGTTTAAAACATTAACACAGTGCAGGATCACAATGCATGAGAACTGTCTGAGCAGAAGTCTGACTCTGGATTTTCTAGATGTCAATGCGTATGGACCAAGTCTCTCATGTGTTCACTTTGCGAGCCCCCAAAGTCCTCCACGATGCATTCCTGTTCCTCTACGATAGCTTTTGCAGACCTTTTTTAATAAGTTAATGTCAATCACACCAGAAAACACTATTTAAGGAATCTATCGACAATATTTAATTATAAAATTGTACTTCTGAAAACATTAGGCTTCCTGGCTGCGGTTCTGATGAGAAATGCAGCAAGGTTTTCTTTCCCCCACAGCCAAAGCATTCTCAACCCAAAGCATAATATATACTAATCATGGCTCCTGACTTATGCGTAACATTGCAAATTGGCTCATATGCTGTAGCGTGCTCTCGCCCTTACCTGTGTATCCAGCGTACCATCCCCAGGACGCCACCATTCCTAAAAGCCATTTGTACATGAGTCCCTCGATATACCAGAAGCGCTTACTGTCCAGCACCCGAAGGGGCTGCAGTATGATTACATAGCAGATGTAGGATGGAATAGCAACCAGGTTGTTGGCGACCATGAAGGCAAATCTCATCAGGGCTTTCGCGACGACCCAGCCCATCCACGGAGCTTCTTCCACGGTCACAGCCATGCTCACATTGGCGTCGCTCCCGTCTTTCTGGGGATGAAAGGAAAAAAATTATTTCGAAAGGAAAATGGATGCAACACCTCTAAAGCGGCCAGCAGCACAGAAATCTCCTCTAGAAAAACCGCGAGGGTCTGAGCTCTCCCGGTGCAGCACTTGGCGGCGGCGCGTCGATCTCGAGGTCAAATTCCAGAGGGGGGACAGGGAGAGGGGGACAGAGGGGAGGAGGGAGGAGCAGCACAAGGTCAAGAGCGGTTCCGCGGGGCACGGGCCGCGGCGGAATATATTATATTTAGACAGCGCTGAAGCCGTCCCGCTAGCCGGTGACCCGGACCTGCCGGACGCCGCACACGGTCCCGCCACCGCCGGCCGTGCCTGGACCGGGGCTCCCCCAGGGCTCGCCCGCCGCAACGGCGGGCCGTTCGCTTTTTCCTCGTCTCTAAGAGGGAAGGAAAGGAGAGGGGCCCAGGCAGGAGGATGGAGGTGAGAGGCAGCCGGCGGGAGGGGGAGGGGAGCGGGACCCAGGCGGTGAAGCCGCCGAGGGGCGAGGGCTGCCGAGCCCGCCCGCCGCCCGCTCACCCAGCGGAGGTGAGGCTCGGGCAGCGGTTTGCCCAGGTGAGGAAGGGGGCGGCCTCGGGGTCGCCGCAGCGGGCTCTCCTCGGTCCGGTCCCCTCAGCCGCGTCTGCTCCGCCGGCTCCCTTCAACGGGCTCCCTTCCAGGGGACTCCCCTCGGCCGGGTCTCCCAGCCCGCTCTCCCCGGCGGGCTCCCCTCACCGGCTCCCCTCAGCCCAGTCTCTCCCAGCGAGCTCACCTCAACGGGCGCAGGCGGCGAGCGGCGACAGGATTGAGGGCCGGCGGCGGCGGCGGCGGCAGGAATCCCCGGCCCGGGGGTCGCGGTCATGGACGCGGCGGCGGCCCAGGCGGCCCGAGGCGCGAGCGGGCGCGCGGGCGCCCTAGTCCCCTCGCGGCTGCCTGCGGACAGAGGCGCGGTGGGGACTCAGAGGCCGGACCTGTCACCGGGGCGGGTCCCGGGGAGGCGGGCGATGCCCCGCGCGCGCCCCCGCCTCCTCCCCGGGGCCTACCGCGCCCTCGGCCCTCGGGACGCCGCCGCCTTCTCCTCCTCCTCCTCCTTCGCAGGCCACGCGACCAGCGGCACCGTTCCCCGCCCCCCAGCCGCCAGGGCCCGGCCCGCCGCGCCCCACGTTACCTCGGGCAGACCGAGGCCCGGCCCGGGCTGCGGGAGCCGGAAGAATGCATGGCCGGCGGAAGGAGACGGCGGCGGCCCAGGCGGCGCGGCCTCCCCGCTCCGGGCCCGGGGCGGGCGGCGTGGAGACTCGGTCCCCAGGGCCCGGCGGCTGCGTGCGCCCGGGCTGGCGGGGCGGGGTGGCGGGAGGAGGAAGCGGCGGCGCCCCCGAGCGCCCTCTAACGAAGACGAAGGCGCCGCCCGCCGGCCCGCTCACTCGCTCCACCGACCCCCTAGTCCGCCGTGCGGGGCTCCCAGGGCCGCCCGGCCTAGGCCCGGAACTCGCCGAGCCCCGGAGTCGGACAGAACGCCGCTCGCACGGAAGGTCAGGGAAGGGCCGGCCCTCCCGCCGAGCAGCGCACCGGCACCCCTGGACCCCCCTTTCAGCCCAAAGGGCCGCGCTGCATTGTTGAGTCTCCTTCGCTGCCCGGGCTGGCACGCGCTCTCCTTTTCATTCCTCTAGAAACCCGCTTGTGCTCAGGGCTTTTCGTCTGAACCTCCCTCCCCAAGGTATTACGGTCTAGCGTTTTAAATCAATTCTTTTAAGTGCCAGAATTCTTGTTTCTGGAAAGCACCTAGAACCTGAATGACAGGATTTTCAGTTCCGCTACACAGACACACACACACACACAGTGGGGACAGGACCCAGTGAGAACCTAAAACCTGAATGACAAGATTTTCAGTCCTGCTACACACACACACACACACACACACACACACACACACAGTGGGGACAGGACCCTGTGAGAACTGAGTGGTCTGCACACAGAAACTGAACTGGGTTAATCTAGGAAGAAAAAAATAATTAGCCGTGGGCCTGATACTGAATCCCATGGCCAAAGGAGCTCCTACCCAGGCCTGGTCAGTACTCGGAGTTCAGCTGAGTTGGGTTCAAAGGCTGAACACCATCAGAAAAACAGATAACATGCCCAAAGTTCTGTTTTCAAACAAAACAAACCACCAAAACCAAGAGTCCTTACGGACCTGGCGTCTCTTCTTGGGTGTGGTAGCTCATGTCTGTAATCTCAGCCCTTGAAGGGGCTGAGGCAGAAGGTTTGCCACGAGCTGGAGGCCAGCCTGGGATACAGAATGAGTTCCTACACAAGTTCTGGGACACTCTAGGTTACAGAGTGAGGCCCTGTCTAGAAATTAATAAAGCCTTGTGAGTAGGGCAGCAGTTTGTTTCTTAAAACCAGGCAGGCCTTCTTTCTGTGTCCCGGCTGATCTGGAACTCGTAACATAGCTCAGGCCGGCCTACAGCACAAAGCAATCTGCTTGCCTTGGTCTCCCCAGTGTTTGGATTATAGGTTTGAACTACAGTGCCCAGCTAGGATGGCAGTTTTCATGTCTTTAAGGAACTGCCATACTTAAAGGAGTATCACTTGTATTTTGTCTGCTTTGAAAATGTACCTGTAATCCCAGCTCTAGAGAGGCTATACAGCAGAACCAGGAGTCCTGGGCTAGCCAGGGCTACATAGTCCTAAAAAACAAACAAACAAACAAACAAAAAACAAAAAAAGTTCATGCTTCATCAGCCCCTTCTCCCTCTTTGATCCCAGAAATGAAAGTAAGAAAAGTTGCCTTATGCCGAAAGGAAATATTTTTATTCCCGTTCAGTACAGGGCCTGTGTGGAATATTTATCCTTTCCATGTGTGTTTAACATTCATAGCTATTATTATCACTTATCTACTTCCCAAATATATTTTACAGTAAGGGTGTGGTAGGGATGTAGCTCACTTGCATTTTCAAGGCCCAGGGTATGATTTCAACACAACAGCCAGGCGGTGGTGCTGCTGCTGCTGCACACCTTAATCCCAGCACTTGGGAGGCAAAGGCAGGTGGATGTCTGTGAGTTCAAGGCCAGCCTGGTCCACAGAATGAGTTCCAGGATGGCCAGGACTGTCAAACAGAAACCCTGTATCAAAAAAGGAGGAAGAAGAAGATGAAGAAGCACAACAATAAAGAACTGCCTAGCAGTAGGAAAGTTAGATATGCTCATTCAATTCCTGTTCTCCCTTTGTCAATTCCTAAGCAGAGAAGTGTAGTAGCGTGTGCTGAAGATGACTGTGATGGTGACATCATATTCTTAGGGAAGATGGGTGAGGAGCGATCCCATGTGTTCCACCCGTCTCAGCCTTCCCACGTCCTGTGGTACCCGCTGACAGCTGCCTGAACACGGGACACACCAGCCCTTGAGATAATGAACTAGCACTCGCTGGCCAAGCAGTGGGACTCGGGCTTTGCTTTTACAAAGCATCCCGTGGGACGTTTCACCACAGTAAGAGCACAGATACATAGAGGAACACTGTAACACTGGGTCCTGGGGCCTGCATTTTTCAAAGTATTGTAGGAATGTTGGGCATGATGGAAGACAGCTTTAATCCTAGTACTAGAGGCAGAGGCTGGTGGAATTCTGAGTTAGAGGCCAGCCTGGACTATTTTGTGAGTCCCAGACAGCCAAGGCTATAGACAGAGGGAGAGACCCTGCCTCAAACACCAAACACAAACGAAAAACTACGACAGGAGATTCTGAGGTTGATAGTTTTCTTGAAACTTTTCTTGATGGTTTGTAGACTTTAAGAAAACTGAATCTTAGGAGTAGCCTGAGATGCTCACAACCTTTTCTAGACCCTGCAGGTCTAGAAATTAAATTTCAGGACATTATTGGATCACATCTGTTCTGTCTGTGTTAGTCCATAATGACAGCCGCACAAAATGCCAGACTGCTGCCTAAGTAACAGGGGCTAGTTTCCAGCTTCTGGAGGCTAAAGCCCAAGATCACCACGTGAAAAGCTGTGGTTTCTCCGCCCTGCCTCTTACTCAGTGCTCAGGGGCATCTCTCTGGGCGTGCATCTGCTTCTTCTCTCTAGCTCTCTGTCCAGATCTCTTCTGTTCCTGTTGGGCAGGTAGCTCTCTGTCCAGATCTCTCCTGTTCCTGTTGGGCAGGGTCTCCTTAGGTAACCAGCAGGCCAGGCTCCAGATCATCATTTGGCCCAGACTATGCGATACCCAGGTATCTTCCTGCTGAGATTCTAGGCATGCACCACTACACCCAGCCAAACTTCTTGTAAGATAACCAGTCTGTTTGGATTGGGGCCCACTCTAATGGCTGCTTTTCAAAACAGTTGTCTCTTTAAAGGCCCTAGGTCAATTTGCATTCTGAGGAAGAAGGAGCTGAGTTTCAATGTACGCATTTTTGGGGGGTACTGTTGAGCCGTTTTACTAGCTTCTCATGCAAAGGCCCCAGAAGTCCCGATCTTCTTGCTCATCCCAGACATTTCTGCTAATTAGCTTCAAGCCCAGGATGATATGGAGTTGCTGGGTTTGAACCCAGGACCTCAAGCCTGCTCAGCAGGCACTTTGCAGCTCTAGCTATACCCCTAGCCTGTCCTTAAACTTTTCTTGAAATTCGGCAAACCATGCAGCAGACCGTGCTGCAGGTACAAACATACTAAGGATGCGTGGAAGGGACGTATTTAGCCTTCTGACCACGAGTCACATTCAGTCAAGACAGTTAAACCCTATAAAGCATGAAAAACCCTTTCAAATGGCGTTTATACCTACTTCTTGTGTTTCAGAGTTCATTTTAGCTCTACATGTTGGATTCATCTTTCATCTTGCATATAATACCTTCTTCTTGCCAGAAAGCTCTTACCTTTTTACACTCTGGGTAGCTCGCTGAGGTTATCCTTTGGTTTATTTACACAGTCTGCCACATGCAAATGAATGTAAATTCCTAGAATGATCCCAGCAGGAAGGCACGGGATGGGCTGTAGAAGCTTCTTCCTTGACAACTAGCTTCCAGTTCCCTGGTCTTCTACCTTAGAACTGTCTTTATCAAAACACAAACCTCAATTCCAGAACTGCAGAGCCTTCCTGTGCAACCCCAATAAGGAAAAGAGGAAACAGACCTGGCCTTATGGCAACAGGTGTCAATCTCATCTCAAAACCTCATATTAACCACAGAGCATTGTGGGAAAACGCAGTAACTTCATTTCTGGGAGTCTCCACACATTTGAAAACAATCTAACCTAATACCTCAGGAGGCTAAATTCCACCCACGTAATACACATACGCACAACAAATTAGGTTATAACTAGAGAGGGGGCCCCTTGGGCAGAAGACTCCCTCTGGGCCCTCTCTTTTTCCTGGTGGCAATTATAAAAACATTTTACCTACCTGTGCTGGTTTCTACAGTGAGGCTTCAGTGAGCTATTTCCTCTCTAGGGGAAAGCTCACCAGCAGTTTTGTGCCTGTGCAGGGCCTTGGCACAGGCCCTGGATTGCTAGGAGACGGCGGCAACCTAGAAGTCGGCCACCCCAGAGAATCTGGCATTCCAAACGCTGTCAACGTCATCCTCTGACTGGACGGAAAGATGTCCCTAGTCGCTTTCCATAAAACCTCTAGACAAGGAGGTGAGACCATCAAGCCTTGACTGCAGAATTTCAGCACCCAATCTTAACAGGATTGTTCCTAAACAATATTATGACATAAACAAGGCTGTCTTCTCTGGGCTCCTTTCCTGTCTGTCTGGTTTCCCTTTTCTTCTCAGGCCTAAACTATGTCTAGGGTCCTAGAGACACCAGGAAAGGCAATGGTTCCCCCAGGACAGCATCCTGAACTGGGGTCTTCTGCCCAGTGTAGCACTGCCCCAGCCACACCCTCTGTGTCCTGCCCACTGAGGTAAATCAGCACACAGCTTCTGCTGGAAAGTGTTCCCTATTCCTACAGCATCAACATTTCCTAAAGGCCCTCCTGCCATCCCAAAGCCACAGCCCATTTCTCCTGGTGGCTTCCTAGGGGCTCCAATGGGTAAGATACTCTAGAAAAATATTCAGCAAGACCTTTCTCCTCCAGAACCCACAAAATCACATAATATACCTGTGGATAAGACAAATGCATATTTAAAACTGTGTTTTCCTGAGGTAAGACACAAAAGAACAATGTGTGACTGAGCACACTCGGCAGACGTCCCTGGTCACGTTCTCAGTGCTGTGTGTGCATTTTTCCTTTCAATACATTTAGTTTAA